ACCAAAACCCTAAGGAATCATCCAGGAACTGAGATTTGTCAGCTTCTCCAGCATGACCTATATTTTTCTCTAAGAATCAATGACCTCTAAGGTCTGTTTCAGCTCCAAGACCATGACTCTCAAGAAAGGAAGCCCCAAAACAGCCAATCAACTCAGTACTTTTCACTGTTCTTCCTGCCACATCTCCCATCTATGGACCACAAGACCAGATCTCACCAAGGTCCAGCCAATGTCTATGAACTATACCAGGCCACCACAGAGCGTGCCTTAGTGGGAAGGACACACACATGCTTACTTGCCCTAATTAGAGTCTCAAGGTGCCTTGCCTTCTCACGTAAGCTTTCCTTTCTCTTCTGCCAACGTAGGTCTCTGACCTCAGCACTGTTGTTGATTTATATCCAGGTATAGGAACTCAAGGCTCCAACGAGCAATCCAAATAGCTTTCTCCAAATCTAAATCAACATTCAGTCAGACTCCTATTTCTGCAGCTCTTTTGTTCTTCTAATGTTCCAAAATAACAATCTTTAATTCATCTTTCCTTTAGGTCATCAGATTTCATGGCAGTCAACCTCTGGGGCACACAACCCATTCCAAGTCAATATATAGTCCCACCGTAAGAAATTTTGGAACAAATACAACCCTAGCTTTCTCCAGAGTCACCAAGAAGTACAAAATCAGAGCTTCTTTCTATCAGTAAAAAGATGTTCAGAACCTATCAAACTTTATTTGTATAAATTCACAGTTGACGATGTAGTCTTCATTATTACTTATAAAACAGGTCAACACTAGCCAGCTCTAAGTGACAAGAGGAAAAACACCTCTGCTCAGAGTAAACCCAGATCTTTGCCAAGTCCGTGACATGAAAATGTCCCCGTTAAGGTGAGAAACCTTTCAACTACTGCCAAGGTTCCCTTCCCTTTTACTTGCTTCTTCACTAGCTGATCTACCTGGCATCCAGATGGCAGTGCATAAATAATCATTCAAACCCTGAAATAAACTGCGTATTGATCCGACTAGTAACTATCTCCCTTCTCCAAGTAAAAAAATAAATAAATGGGGAGTAAGAGGAAGAAAATAGGGTTTCTGTGGCAACTAAATCTAAGCAAAAGTCAAAAGGCCATAAAAACAAATCTCCAGTCAGCCTAGGTCCAACTGCAGCAGGAAAACAAAACAAAACAAAACAAAACCATCCCCACTGGTGGCACAATCAATTTCAAGGATGCTCAAGACATTTGGCGTGAACCTACATCAAGCCTCTGATCAGTATGGAAGCTGTCAGTGTTCCCAGTCTGACTGACAATCAACATCTATGGAGCAAAAAACAATACAGACCAATCCTATCTGTCATTACAAAACAGCTTCCCAGCACAGGAACAATGGCATTGCTTTCTAAAACACACCAAACCAAGCAAGTCAAAGTAACCGCTTAATACATGTAAGACACAAAGGTGTAACTACTTTATTACTTGGTAGGAGACTTCTGGCAAACTCAACCAGCAAAGGAGCAAACCTAAACTCTTTCCTCCCAGGCCTGTAGGGCCTCCTTGAGGAGCCTCCTTACTTCCGCTATGTACAATTCCAACAAGCTCTGTTACCTGGCCTCCCAGCCAAAACTGCATCCCTTTTATAACTGCTACCTCTCCCTCTAGACTGCAAGTCCTTAAGTGCCTGTTCATGAGTGAATCCCTAATACAGTTCCTGGATTCAATTACTATATTTGCTGGTCAAATAAATGAAGATCAGAAGAAGCTGGTGGGGGAGGGGTCACTTGTCATTCTCAACAACAGCCATAACCTGAATTTCAGGATGAAAGATTAGAAAGTGCCTCCACGATCTTCTCCTTTATGTATCCAGATACTAACATTCAGTTGCTGAAAATTTGTATAGTTTTTAAACTAATATTATTTCATTCAATAAACCAAACGATCTAAATTGTAAGTATGTGTGAGAAAAGGACCTCTGCCCTTCTACCACTAAACCTCATCCCCTCCACCCCCAGGGAGGAAAAAACACTCGCCCATTTGGGCCAGAGTCCAGGGCCCAGAGGAACCCCTCTTTTACTAGCAGGCAAGGGTCACTGTGTTAAATGTGAAGCATGGAGTACGCCTGTCTCGCCTTCAAAAGGCAGAACTGGCAAACGGACCCAGGGCTAACTCTTGAAACAGGTCTTCATTACAAAGGGTTTTAAGATAATGATGAAGCTGGCATCAAAAACCAGAACTGACAGCTGATTCACAGGATGAGAGCAAAGGATATAAAACTCAAAAATCACAGTATAAAGTTATCAGGAGTAAGAGCAAACAACCCTAAACACCCGAGAGTGCTGCTAAGTTTCAGCACAATATGGTAATATATTTTCATGAGGTAAAGGCAAAAAAGTTTCTAAATTATATAAAATTAATTCTTTTAAAGTTCAGTCTTCAGGCACCTGAAAATAATGTATGTATACCGTCTCTCCCCGCTACTAAGTAATCTCTAAGGTAGAATCTAGGGACCACAGAGACAGAGCTCACAGATCACCTGAAAGATTCCTTGACCCACAAGTAGTCATTAATATACATGGTCTTGAGCAGCAGTTCCAAAACCTTGCTGCACTTCTGTATTGGCTGGGGAGCTTTCTAAAAATACATTCTCAAAACCATCACAAATTTCCAGAGGTGGGGTCCATCATCCACGGTCTTAAAGATGTCCCAAATGATTCTAATGCATGCCAGTGTAGCATCTATCTAGAACAGGGTTTCTCAATTTCTGCACTATTAATATTTGGGGCTGGATAATTTAGGGAGCTATCCTGCGCATTACAGGATGCTTAGCAGCATCCCTGGTCTCTACCCTCTAGAAGCCAGGATGCATACTGCCCACCCCTACAGGTATGACAAGCAAAAATGTCTCCAGACATTGCCAAATGTTTCTTTGGGGGCAAATCACCCCCCAATTGAGAAACATTTATCTAGAGCAAATAAAAAACCAATTACTTGAGGTTCTCTTAAGGGAAAAAAAGAAATAAAGCTGCTTAAAGCCAAGAGCCCAGGCCTATTTTTTCAGTCCATCGCACTTAAGAAAAGTAGCTAACAAACTACTCAGCCCACATGGGGACTCAGATATTGACTTATGAGGAGCAAACCACAGCTTCTTGTGCTTTTTATGAAATAAACTCAATGCTGAGTTTTAGGTGAGCAGATGATTAGAAGAACTTCATTGTCACGATCATGTACTCATCTTAGGGGTATTAAAAAAACACTGTAAAATTTTAGACCAATATACACTCATGCTGCCTCTCAAATATCCAAAATATAAAACTGCAAGACACAAGTTCATGATAGCAACAAACTAAATACCGATCCTGACAAATACTGTTTTAAGGGAGAGATTCTTGTATGGCAACTACGTGGAATTTAAATACAAACTTGGGGTGGGGGGAGATTTTTGCCTGTAATAAGCACATACCTTTGTACCTGATACACAAATTATCTTAAAGAAATGAACCTCACCCTGTCAAATCTTAATTTTACCATTCATTTTCTGTCCAGCTATGGTATGATTCTCATATTCTCAAGCAGCTAATTCAAACTAGCAAGTTTTTGTTTTTACAAGTTTTACAAGTTTTTGTTTTTACTTTACACAAAAGCTAAAGTTTTCTGATCCAAAACAATCTTCTTCATCTCCTTAAGTTACACCAGCAGGATGCTCACCTCTACTCAAAACTGCAGAAAAACATTTCCCCAGTGCAATTAAAGCAAGCCAGGTCCCAAGCAATAATACCAAGGGACAGGCAAGCATGATTTCAAGAGTACCAGGGAAAAGAGCATAGGGCAGGAATTAAAAGATTGTGAGTATATGTATGACTGAGTCGATGGCATTTTGTTAGATACTCTAGACTCCCCAGTCAGACACAGTGAAAGGCCAGACAGCTTCTAAAGCATCCATGCACAACAGTTATCTCCCAAACTAGGTTCACTGAAGTGTATCTCAATACACAGCAACCTTTCAAACCTCAATAACCCAGGAGTACACTGAGAAACCTTGGAATTGATAACGGGGACCAAACACACTCAGGACCTAGTTTATCCCAAGGGAAGTAAGAGCAGAATCTGACCAGAGCTCTTGATGGACTTTTCTTCATTTAACCACCTCTTAGAGGAAACATTCTGAGGTACCACCACTAATTTATTGCTCCACAAAACATGTGTGATTTAATGAATCTTCAACCACCCCTCTCCTGAAAAACTTAAAATAACTTCCAGTTCATTTTCTCAGAACTGACTGTTAAACACACAGAGCTTTCTAAAGACAGTCACCAAGTCACCTGAACACTCATTTGACTTCCAAACGGTAATCTAAATATTTACAAATCAAATTTAAATTAGTAGTAATAGCCACTAATTGCACTAAGCTGACTACACATGCCAGGCACCGTTTCTAGTCCATTTACTCCCGACACACTTATGAGGCAGACACTATTATTATTGTCACATTACAGGGAAAGCAGAGAGGTGCAGTAACTTGTCCAAGGTCACAGAGCTACAAAGTGGTGGAGCCAAGACCTGAACCCAGCAATCTAACTTCACAGTAAAGAAAGCGGAACCACCACCACTTAGGAGACACTCACTCCAGCGGCTGGAAATCCCGAGTCCCTTTCCCACTTGCTGCCTACCTGCCCCATGACCTTGAGGGCAAAATCAGAGTAAACGTCACACTGTTACAAGGTGGGACAATATCCACATAAACAAGTGCTGTGGGGACGAAAGGAAAACCACCACCGAGTGTCCCTCCCACAGAAGCAAAACATAAACAAAGCTCTAGCCGACCCACGGAGGAAACGGTAAGTACCGGGAAAACTACACAAAGCCTGAGGCTGAAACGTCAGGACAGGGGGATACGTCCGAGGACTCGCTCCGCGCACCTACAACCCAAAGTCCACCTGGTGATGGGCGCACGCAGGGTCTGGGAGGAAACCCCTCCAACTTAACGGCGAACGGGCTTCTTTAAGAGGGAGGTACCTCCAGCCTCTCGAAGGACCACCCCCCTCGCTCATCTTCGCAGGGAGGCGTTCGCGACCAGGTCGACATCCGAGTCACAACACCGGACTTAAAAAACGCTCGGAAGGCTACTTCAATACTCCGCGCCGGGTTCTGCGTAGGCCGACGGCTCTGCGGCGAAAGCGCAGAAACCCACAGAACTTGTTTCCCGCAGAGCGGAGTCCCAACAATGGCCTTCGCGAGCCCACGGCGAGCTGCCGCCTCAACTTGACACGCTCCCGGGCCCGCGCCCAGAGAAGTTCTCCCGGGCGGGCGGCGCTCGGGGCGGGCGGCGGGGCCGCAGCGGAACGGGGCCCGTCCGGGTTAGGGGCGCGCCCCGCCCGCCGCCGCCGCGGAAGGCCGCGGACGTCACCCCGGGCGCAAAGTTCGCCGCCGGCCCGCAGCCCGGCCCGGCGCCCGGCCCGGCGCAGCCCCCCGCGGCCCGCGGCGGGCGGGCAGGCGGCTGACAGGCGCGGGCGGGGACCGGCCGGGGAGCCTGGCCGCCGCGCCTCCCGGCCGCCGAGCGGCGAATTCCGGGGGGGAGGGGAGGGGAGGGGGCCGGGACGCTCCCTCCCCGCGCCGCCGAGGCCGGGCAGAGGGGCCTCGCCGTCGCCGTCCGCGCGCCGCGCGCCCCGCGCACCCCGCGCCGCGGCCCGCTCCGCCGCCCCCCCGCCCCCATTACCTGGAGGTGCCCGCGACCCGCCGCTAGTTGCGCTCAGGCGGGAAACGCGCTCACCGACACCATCAGCGAAGCGCCCAAAATGGCGGACGTATCAAGCAGGCCTTGAGTTCCCCCCACCCTCCCTCCGGCCGCCTCGCAGCCAATCGCGGCTCTATCTCCGCCCCCGGACCCGCGCTCATTGGCCTTCCTCTCCCGCCCCCTGCAACCTATTGGATCGCCCAGCGGCCCGGTTGCGCCCACTCCGATTGGCTCCCTGGCCCCGTCGGTCAAGCGCGAGGGGAGCCTTCTTTTCCCATGGACTTGACGGATCCGGAACCTCTAGGACCCCGGAGTCTGGAGAAACAAATCAGAAACCCGGAGAAACCTGGCTGGGTCCCCCTACGCCGTAGCAACAGCAGGGCCCGTTTGACGGACGCTTTGCACCACCAATCCGATAGCCAATGCTTTTTAAAACTAAAGGGAGCCAAACCAATCCTGGCCGTGGAGCTGGGAGCGGAAAGGGAACCAATGGGGTAGCGAGACGGGCGGGCGGGTCGGAGGGTCCGGAGGAGACCCGTGATGACGTGAGCCACAATATGTTCGGGCGGCCGAGCACGCCCCGAGCTGGGGAATTAGCTCAAATGGTAGAGCGCTCGCTTAGCATGTGAGAGGTAGCGGGATCGATGCCCGCATTCTCCACGGATGAATTTTATGGGGGGGCGGGGATCGTCAGTCCTGGTCCCTTTACCCGTAAGTGGTGGCTGTGCCAGGAGTTGGGGTCAAGGTGAGGATCGGTCTGTGTCAGGACTGGGGTCCCCGCGAGGGGCTGGTACCCCCAGTGGTGCGTCTATCCCCGCCGCAGGGAAATACGCGGGCGGTGGCGTTCCTTTTGTCTTACAGAAGGATTTACACCGGAGCCTCTTCCGAAATGCTCCCCGGGAGGGCTGGGCCGGGACACCGAAGAGTAGCCCACCTTGGCCCATTGCAGGCGCCTTCCAAAAACCTGGCTCACTTCTAAGTAGATGCGAAGCGCCGCCCCGAGTCCTGAGTAAATCGACGGGAGAGCGGAGGTTGGCAGCAAGGCTGAGAAGCGCAGGCCAGGTGAGGGTCGGGTGGAACCCAGCCCGAGTTCGGCAGAACGCAGCATCGCCCACCCGCCGGTGTGCGTGCGCTCGGGGAGGCTTGCGCTGCCGGCTGTGGTTGGGGGCCCCTCCTGGGCAGGTGGCATTTCAACCCACGAACGGGGAAGACAGGGCCGTGGGCTCCTGGGTCCAGGTGGCAGGTAGAGAGACCAGAGACGCCAAGGCCGAGCTTTGGAGCGCTGGGGAGGCAGGGGCGTGGTTGGGTTGTGGTGAGAGAGGGACGTGGCGGGGAGTGGAGGTGGTAGAGGTGGCCGCCATGGTGCAGGGTCTTGGGGACAGTGCCCCCATGCCCAGGAGAAACCAACAATCCTCAATGCCCAGACTGCACTTAGGCACCAGGCCTGGAGTCATAATGGGGGCTCCATGCAGGGAGGTTGGTGGTCTCTTGTAGTCTGTAGGGCAGCTCACTCCGGTGGTGCTGGCTTGGTCAGGGATGGCCACTCCAGCTCAAGGAAAGCAGGGCCTGGTTCCTGTGGGGCTTCCCCAAGCTGCTTCCTGAGAAAAGTGACATAGCTTGGCCACTGGGGGTAGGGAGGGCAGGACCAGTGGAGTTGGCCACCGGCTTGCCTTCCAGATGTTCAGCACCTTTCTGCACCCATACCCCCATCCTTTGCGCCTGCTCATCCTCATCCCAGCTGGCCCGAGCTCCCTCCATCTCACTGGCTCAGGCTCTCTGAATCCCCATGCCAAACAGCAGGGAGAATGAAACCTAATGGAGCTGAGTCAACCCCAGTGCATGGGAAGCTGGGCCTCTGGTGCAAATGTGCCCCTCGCCCAGCTCACCCCTTCAGCAGAGACTGAGACAGACTCTCTAGAAAGACTTTGTGGCTGGTAGCTCCAGACAGTACAGTATTATCATCCCCATTTTACAGATTAGTTAACAGAAACCCAGGCAGCATTCAGACACCAGGTGTGGCCCGTATTAGCTGAGTAAGCTTGGCTGGGTGAGCTAACCTCTCTGACTCTCCAGGCTTTATCTGTAGAGTGCTGATAATACCTACTGACCTATGTCCATGCCCTGAAGGGTGCTGGACCTCTAGGGAGGTAGCACCCAAGGGCAGATACTATTCCCATCGATCCTGTTGCTCAGAGCGGCTAGGGGCCTTGCCCAAGGCCACACGGCAAGTGAGGAACACAGTCAAGACTGAAACGGGTTCCGGAGGTGTGCTGGTGCAGAGGGTTAAGGGAAGGACAAATACACAGATATCCTGGGGGTGGGGAGCAGGTCGGCCTGGCAGAGAACTGCGGAAGGATGGTGCAGAATGCACAGTTGTCAGAGGATCCAATGGGGGTGAACGAGGTCTGGGAGAGGAGAATGAGAGGGACTCATGGAGGCATTGGAGGATAAGCAAAGGAACTTAGGGTTCATGCTCAGAGAGGGAGGGCCAGGAAAAACTTCTGAGTAAGACAGGGGCGTGTTCAGGGCTGGCCACATTTGGGAAAGGACAGATTAGAGCAAGGGCAGCAAGGCGGTGTTACAACATGCAGAGGGGCGGGTCCCAGGAGCTAGACCAGGGAGGAGGGGAGAGGCTGCAGGAAACCCCTGGACAGCGTGGTGCCTGAGAGGGAGGCTGGGCAAGGGCTTGGGACCTGCCCTCCTGGGAGCCTGGGGAGAGCCCAGCCACACACACAGATCCCTTTACTCATTCATCATCGGAGAACTTGCCAGTACATGCTTCAGGCTCTTCCATCCCAGACTCTGAGGAGGGTCACAGGGACATGTGGACTATAATTAAATGAAATAATGCAGTACCTCGCCCAATATAAGTGGGCCCCAGAAGTCTCCAATTATGATGAGCTAACCCAACTGGAAGGGCTGAAGTCAGGGAGGACTTCCTGGGGGAAGAGGAGGTATTTGAGCTCAGTCTATCTCCCTGAGAGCCCTAGAGAGCCATTGACAGGCTTTAAGCAGGAGAGGGACTCAACCTTTGCATTGGTCTAAGCATCCTAAAACTTCTAGAGTTCATGGATCACCATCTTCCCCTTTCCCCTCTAATCCTTTCATGGCTTAATTTTTAATGTTTAAAATTTCAATCCAGTGGCGCCTGGGTGGCTCGGTCATTTAGGCGGCTGCCTTCGGCTCGGGTCATGATCCCAGAGTCCTGGGATCAAGCCCCACGTCGGGCTCCCTGCTCAGTGGAGAGTCTGCTTCTCCCTCTCCCTCTCTGCCTACTTGTGCTCTCTCTCTCTCTCTCTCTCTGTCAAATAAATAAATAAAATCTAAAATAAATAAATAAATAAATAAATAAAATAAAATTTCAATCCAGGGGTGCCTGGGTGGCTCAGTCAGTTAAGCATCTGCCTTCGGCTCAGCTCATGATCCCAGGGTCCTGGGATCGAGTCCCACGTCAGGCTCCCTGATAAGTGGGGAGCCTGCTTCTCCCTCTCCTTTTGCTGCTCCCCTTGCTTGTGCTCTGTCTCTGTCAAGTAAAGTCTTTTTAAAAAATAAAACAAATTTTCAATCCATCTAGACTTAAAAAAAATTATATGAATACTTTCAGATCTATTCAACAGTAGAGAGAAAAGTGTAATGAATGCCCACATACCCATCACCCAGCTATTACCCCCTTAACTTTTGGGAACAGACGTAGAGCTGCCAAATTTTAATTCTATCAAGTAATGATTTTTTAAAAAAAATTTTAAGTCATGATTTTTTCCAAAAAAACACCTTATACTATTACCATCATTTCATAAAAGAAAGGACATTTTAACATATACATACACTCAGATACAAAAAGGCTTTAAGATTTTTTTTTTTTTTTTTTTTTTTAAGATTTTATTTATTTATTTGAGACAGAGAGAAAGCACATGAGAGGGGGGAGGGTCAGAGGCAGAAGCAGGCACCCTGCCGAGCAGGGAGCCCGATGCGGGACTCGATCCAGGGACTCCAGGATCATGACCTGAGCCGAAGGCAGTCGCTTAACCAACTGAGCCACCCAGGCGCCCACAAAAAGGCTTTAAATTGAATAAGCTCGACTTGGGAAAACTGCCTGCCCCCCCATTATCTTTCCTATTGTCATGTCCCTGGGACTCAGACCTGGTCTGAGGGCTAGAGTGAGGCCACCCTGGCAGAGGTGGGCAGGTGCTGGGCCAGGTCACCTGTAAGCTGAGGGTGAGGTCCAATGAGAGGTGGGAGCCCAGTGATGTGAAGAGTCAGCCAAGTGGCTCTCAGGAAAGAACCCTACAGGAGCCAAGTCCTACCCAACTCCCGCAGCCCCCAGGTTTCTCAGGGACAGAACCTTCCACACCTACCACATCCCTGTCCTCCAGCATCCTGCCTGGCAGTGGACGTGACCAAGATCTGGCCACATGGATTTTGTTCAACCACCCAGGGCAGCTGTAGCCCCACGGGGGCTGTGGGGCCCGGGGCAAGGAGGAGCTCCACACCCATTCTGGATGAGGGTTGGAGGGCTGAGCGGAGCAAATGATAGGGCCAGTGGGGAGTGAGACCCTGCAGGACTCAAAGACAGGCGACAGACTCGGGGAGTAGTGGGTGTCACTGCAGAGGGGAGGGGGTTTGCAGGGAAGGTGGA